TCACTATTCGTGTGTCACTATTCATGACACAAGCTGGGAGGAAAGGAGTCCCAAATGCTCAAGCTGGAAGGGACATTTGTCATAAAGCAGTGGTAATACCCAGTTTATACACAGAAAGTTTGGTGTTTCCTTCCTGAAGAGCTCTGCGTGGTAAATAAAGTAAAACCAATAATTGTCCATGGGCAACTGAGCCATGTCCTTAACAAAAATATTCAGATGGACATAAATCACAGTGTTTAAGCAAACACACTGAGAGAGGTTCTGGAGAGGAATCCAGCAGCTGTTTTCCGGAGGATTAGGGGAAAACTGTTGCCTGATGATATTTTTTAAAACTTAAATGAGGGTTTTATGGGTGTAGAAGAGTGTCTTTTTCTTTCATGCTAAAAAAATGGGATCTTTTTATTAAATTTATTTGTTATATATGTCTATGGAATTACTACATAAGCATAAAGTCATTTATTTATCTGAAGTAGTTTATTTCTCTTTACCAAGCACAGCTCTTTTTTGAAGACTTTTTCTCCTAAGGGAAAAATATTAAAAATCTCAATAAGTAAGAATTTGTCTTATTCCATGCTAATTAAATGACGATTCTTTTTCCCTTTTATATGTTTTTCTTTTCTTACGTACATTTTCTGCTGAAATTAAAAATTAAATGTTAAGGATCAATGTATGTATTTAGCATTGTACTACATATTATATATATGGCTCTTTATTGTGCCTATTATTTTTGAAAAATTATTTTGGGGAAATTAATTACTCATTATTTATAGAGATTTTGTTCTGTTCCTCACAGGCATGAATTTTGGGTGCCATGTGCTGGTAGACCTGCATGGTACATGTGTTCACTTGGACAGAGAGAGTTTTAAAAATGTTGCCTAGTTAGAGGACTGCACAGGTAGTAATGTCTGGGAGGAGAGGGGAAGACACATGTTACTTATGGCTGTATAGTGTTAGTTTCAAAATGACATTGGAGATCTTCTGGCCCAATTTGTTAACTCAGTTTCCTAAATCTGATCCTATCAGAATTAGAACCAGTTAGCATTGGGCCCTCAGTTTGCAGGAGAAGACTCATATGTGGCAACACTTTCTATCACCTGCATCAATATTTAAAAATTCATGATGATTGTAGAGAGTTTAGAGAAGAATTTGATGGGCTGATGTCAACTCCTGGCTGCTCTGGCACTCGGCTTCTTCAGCAATGGTAAATCAGTGAAGGGTGGCATGACTCTTGAAATAATTCAATTCAGCAAACATTTGTTCAGTACCTATTATTTGATTCAATGTTAGTATCCAGAGTCACAGATACGAATAATGACAGGGTTGCTGACCTCAAGGGGCTCTGTCTAGTGGAGGAATCTTAAAGGTAAATAAATATTACCTACCAGCCTTAGAAGTGCAACAGAGAAGCTTGGAAGAGGAATAAGGGAGACATTTGGAAAAGGTAACATCTGGGATGGATTTTGATAGGAATAAGAGTTTCCAGTGATTTCTACTGAATAAATTTTCATTCTTTAAAGACTGATTATTACTCTTCCCATTCTATTGTCACCTAAAAATCTTTGATGACTTTCCAAAGATGAACATCCCTTCCCTAGCTTCTGAAACTTGGCCTTTTATTACATAGCTCTTTTGGATTATCTAATTCATAACCAATTGAGAGGAAGAATTAGTTGAAGGGTTTAAGATGCTTCAGACTTATAAAGGTAACACTGTGGTCAGTGATCATAGAAAAGGAATTCTCAATTAGCAATAATCATGCCTCAGATAAACCTCATCGTCTATAATACTGCCCTTATGCAAAACATGAAAAGAAATTCTTAATGAAGAAATGTTGAAATGGAAGACAATGCGACAGAAAGAAAGAAGGGACTCTTACCTTTTATGACAGCATGGATGGAACTGGAGAGCACTATGCTAAGTAAAATATGCCTGGCAGCAAAAGAGAAATACCACATGATCTCACCTATAACAGGAACCTAAACAACAAAACAAACAAACGAGCAGAATAGAACCAGAGGCATGGAAATGAGAAACAGACTGACAGCGACCGGGGCGGGGGGGGGGGGGGAGGAGGGGGAGAAGGGGGGAAAGAAGGGGAAGGGTCTAGTCAAGGAACGTGTTTGAATGACCAATGGACATGGACAACAAGGTGGGGATTGACTGTGGGAGCAGGGGGAGGAGGACAGTGGGGGAAAATTGGGACAACTGTAATAGAACAACAACAGAAAAAAAGTGCTGTTGAGTGACAGAAGGAGATCTCCAATGTGGTTCTACTAGTTTAAAAATAATTGCTTTATGTCTGATGTACTATCCATACTGGCTAAAATATTTCTTAGTTTTAACTCCTGGGTTTTTTGTTTGTTTGTTTTTAAGGAACTGGGTTAGAAACTCATGTTAATGATTATAGTTATAAGATACTTGAATAAATAAACAAGCAAACTACTTCCCCTAATTTGACTCTCTTCAGATCAAACCTGTAAATTTGTTTCTGTATTGCTACTGAATTTCTGGTGTGTTTATTGTGCATAAAATATTGTTTGCTTCTAATTAAGAAGTCGGTGTTCAACAGACATTGTTCATTGTTATTTATGAACATGTTCCATTTAAAAATAATTGAGATATTTATTGGTAAACAATTTCTCATAAAGCCAGACTTCTATGGAATATTAATTCATAACACATCATTTCTTTTAGAGGGAAGGAAAAAATACCCAAGACTTTCAGTTATAAAATATGCTCATTAACAGTGGTTTCTTGTAATAGGAGCAATTTACATACAAAATAGAGAAAATGAGTTATAAAAAAGGAATAGCTATAACTTCTCTGGCATGTACCCCACAAAATAAACTTCCTTCAGATGACATTGGTATGCTTAATCCCAAACAACCTGGACACTGGGACTGCTGTTCTAAAAAGGGGCTCCGCAGCCTGGAAAGGTTGTGAGTATAATACTAGCCTTCCAACTGGGGAGGGTGGGGGTGTTCAGTGCATCTTTAGTAGCATTACCCCACCCCCAAGCCCCAAGGTTCAAGGTATTTGAATATTCATAACAGGTTGGCAGGTGGTCAGTGGGTGAAGGACTGAAGTCACTCTTGAATCCTTGTGCTTTTTCATATTTTATTAGAGACACTTGTAAGGTCAGGTGAAGTCCCTCATTCCTGGTTAACTTCTGATGTCAGTTTGAGGAAATGGTTCTAAGGTGGACGAACGGAGATGGTCAAATGTTAAGATCCTATCTTCAGCATACCTTGTAATCATATTTGTTCCTGTGGAACGTGTAAACAATTTTCACGTATATCATCACAGTCGTCTGTAGTGAAAGTACCTCACACATTTTCCCACACATATAAGTAGTTTTCTTGCATTTTGACAGCCATGCTCAGAGATACATAGGTAGTGTCCTCTCTTTTAAAGTGAAAGGAAATAAAAATTGTCTAGAGAATTTTTAGTTTGGGGCTGTGGGCTTGAGGTTCTTCTAAATCAAATCCAGGGCTTTCTACTTGCTGTCTCCTTTCTACTTTTCTACTGAAAAGATCACATGATAATTGGGTATTTTACAGGTTAGAGTTCCTGCCTCACTTCAGTCACTTAATGAGGATTTCATGTTCCGGGCTTTGTGCTGTGTCTTTTACATACATCATCTTGTTTAATCCTTACACTGTCCAGAAGAGGAACCCCAGGTTCAGGGAATTTGAGTAACTTTAGGGTTAGCCTGGCTAGTCTGGGGTGGATCCTGGATTGCCACCCAGGTTTGCCTGAGCCCTTGACATTCTTTATTTATGTTCCTGAGATAGATGAGTTGGCCTTTGAGGAATGAAAGGAAATTATGGATGAGATTCCTAAATATATAGTAATAAAGAACTCTGCTGAGTGTCAAACCAGTGATTCAGACAGCTAATGCTTTGGGAGGGTAAACGGAGAAGAGATGATAGTACTTGTGATCTGGAAAGGCCTTGTGAAGAAATTGGGATTTGAACTAGCAAAGGATACTAAGAATAGCGTCAAGGTGTGATGGAAGGAATAACAGGAGGACTACGCACAGTTGGTAAACACTGGGCATGTTTGAGAATTGATGTATTTGAATGGACCACTTGAGGGGTTTGGTGGGTGACTAAAGGAGGAAGGTGGGAAAGGTGGGTGGGGGCCTGTTGCAGAGGACAAGGGCTACCAGTGAGTGGCCTTGATGTGCCGCATTACAGTTTTACCTCTTAGTGATACAGCCAAATGCTGTCTTAACTAGAATAATTCCAATTGGCTTGTGGCTGATTTTGAGTCAATGGAAGTTTTAGTGGGATGAAATTATGTTTAGCTTCTTAGGGTGTCTCTCATTTCCCAAAAGCTTATCTAAATAATCTTTCTTTATAGGAAATACAAAAGGTTTATTGTTTCTTATATTCTTATGATGTGAATAGATTTTAAGTGTTTGTATGTATACCAATATTTCAATAAACATTTTTTTTTGTGGAGGAAGTGGAGAAAAATGATTTAATGGGCATCAATAACATTGGGAGACTGGGGATTTGGGATTTTCTAAGGAAGGAGGGTCATCCTGGCACTTTTTAGCACAGAAGTCAGGATATCTCCAAGAAGTGAGGGGTTTAGGGGCGAAGTGATTTACATCAAAGACTAGACATAAATAGTTCTTTCCTTAGGAAACTGTCACGCATTGGGTCATAAGGAGCTATTCTCACTTTCCCTAAAGCCTTAGGGCAGGGTGATAGCAACCAAAGTCCAACCATTAATGATCATGGTTGACTGTGATGACCTTCCCCCATCAAGACTGGAATAAACAACATACATTATTTTTTTGTATAGGGAAATTATTACAGATTCTAGAGAATAAGATAAAGGACAGATGCAGATGCAGATGGGCGCTTGGCAAAGGTCTGTGGAAACTGGGGATAATGTAGATGATAGAATGGGATTTTTTTTAAAGGAAAGAAAACTGTCTCTTTGTTTATCATTCTCATCTCGCCTATTTTCTCTTTTTAATGTTGCAGTGTGCAAAGATCCACCCTACAAAGTAGAAGAATCTGGGTACGCTGGTTTCATTTTGCCAATTGAGGTTTATTTTAAAAACAAGGTATGTAATCTTTACCCATTAATCTTTCAATAGAAGATCCCCATTAACCAAATGATATTTAAAATAATTTTGATTCATAAGCACTCCTATCAGTAGAAGATTTTAAAGTAAAAGTTAAATTTGTCTTCTAGGAATTTTGGCTATTGTTCCCCTTAATTATAAAGGAAATGGCTAGAAAAAGATGATTTCAATTATATCAAGTCAGATTATATGAATTATTAAGCATTCTTTTTTAAGAGAAGAATGATTACTATTTGAAAAAGAAGATTAATATATGTCTATAAAATAGAAAAGAGTAATTATGGCTTTTCAGTGAAATACTCCTTTTCTCATTTTCATATTTCTAAAATTTTTAGACTTGCAAAGAATAATCTCTCATCTTTTGTTGTTACTCACACACATGACATAAATATACAATTATATCAACTTGAGATATTATGGATTCTACTGGATTTAAAAGCTTTCAACTGTACAAATGTGGAAAAACATAGACTAGAAAATATTGGACAAATTAATCCACATCTGTGGTCCTCGCTTTTCTTATTCAAAAAAATTGGGATAGGATGAGTATGTACCTTGCAAGGTGGCCAGAAGGATTAGATACTAAAGCTGAGTGTTCAGAATAATGCTTCATATAGGGGATACTGGGAAGATGGCGACGGAGTAGGAGTGGATTCTAGCTCCCGTAATTGTGGGTGAAAATCCTGGCAGATCTTTAGAGAAACAACACAACAAACCATCAGTTACTCAGCATTTATGAAATTAAAAGACCAGAGATTGTGACCGACGAAGAAACACCAGACAGTGGCAGAGTCGGCTACGGGAGCCCCCGTGCCACTGCCATGGTGATGGGACTGGGCACTGGGGAGTCAGCTATGGGAGCTGGGACACTAGAGGCCCCTGTGCCGCTGCCATAGCAATGGGCCTTGGGCACCAGGGAGTCAGGTACAGGACACAGGCGACAGGCCTGGGCAGCAGAGGAGTCAGCTACGGGAGCCGGGACACTAGATGCCCCTGTGCCACTGCCATAGCAATGGGACTGGGTGCCGGGGAGTCAGCTACGGGAGCCGGGACCCTCACAGCCCCTGTGCCACTGCGGTAGCAACAGGCCTGGGCACCAGAAGAGTCTGCTATGGGAGCCAGAACACTCAGCAGTGGTAGGTGACCAGCGCAGGGACCAGTTCGAGGACCAGCGCGAGAGTAGGTGGAGACGGAGAACATTGAGATACCTGAAGGAGTCTGCACCACTGAAATTCACAGGTATTATACCACAGAAGTTCACACCATAAACCCAGGGAGTCAGAACAGATCAATTTTAGAAGCTGAGACTAACAAGAAGAGTCTCAAACAATAGGAAGACAAGGAAACAATCCCCAAATGAAAGAAAAAGCAGAAACTTTAGAAAGAATGTTAGATGAAATAGAGGCTAATCAACTATCAGATATTGAATTCCAAGCACTGGCTATTACGAAGTTCAAAGAGCTCAAAATCAGCTACCAGAAACTACAGGGGAATTAGAATGATCTCTCTGCAAACTGCATCAACATGAAAAAGGAAATAGAAAATATCATCAAGGGACAAGAGGAAATGAAGAATACAATTTCCAAATTGAAGAACAGAGTAGAAAGTTTCAAAAGTAGAATAGATGAAGCGGAGAATTGGATTAGCGAGTTGGAGGACAAAGTAGAAAGCATCTCATAGAAACAGCAAGAAAATGAAAAGAGGCTCAGAAAGAATGAAGAGGGATTAAGAGAAATGCAAGACCATATGAAACGTAATAATATCCGAATAATAGGAATACCAGAAGGAGAAGAAGAAGAAGGGATATACAAAACGTATTCAAAAGAGTAATGAGAGAAATTTTCCCTAATTTGATGAGAGAAAAAGTCATACAAATCCAGGAATCACAGAGTCCCAATCAAGAGGAACCCAAGGAGGCCCACTTCAAGACACATCATCATCAAAATGGCAAAATTTCAAGACAAAGAGAGAATCTTAAAGGCAGCAAGGGAGAAAAAAAAATAACATACAAGGTAGCCCCAATAAGGTTAGCTACTGATTTCTCAATGGAAACACTCCAAGCAATAAGAGAATGGCAAGAAATATTCCAAGTAATGAGAAACAGAGGCCTACAACCAAGGCTACTTTACTCAGCAAGGCTCTCAATCAAGATAGAAGGCCAAATAAAGAGCTTCCAAGACAAAAGAAGTCTAAAAGAATACGCCTCCACCAAACCAGCTCTACAAGAAGTACTAAAAGGACTGTTTTAAGGAAAGGAAGGAAAAGAGGGAGACAGAGAGGAACACAGGTACAAAAATGGCAATGAATAAGTACCTATCAATAATAACCTTAAACGTAAATGGATTAAATGCTCCAATCAAAAGACACAGAATAGCTCAATGGATGAGAAAGCATGACCCACACATATGCTGCCTATAAAAAACCCACCTCAGGACAAAAGACCATCACGAACTAAAAGTAAAAGGCTGGAAACAAGTTTTCCAAGCAAACAAAACAAGAAAAAAAAGCTGGGGTAGCAATTCTCATATCGGACAAAATAGACTACAAAAACAGGGCCATAAAGAGAGACCCAGAAGGTCACTTCATAATACTCAAGGGAAGAATCCACCAAGAACACATTAACATCATAAATATATATGCACCAAACACAGGGGCACCCAAATATATCAAGAAAATCTTAGAGAACTTCAAGAAAGATATTGACAGCAACACAATTATAGTAGGGGATTTTAACACCCCACTGTCAAAAATGGACAGATCTTCCAAACAAAATATCAACAAAGATATTGTGGCGTTAAACAACACCCTAGATGAAATGGACTTAACTGATATATATACAGCCCTTCATCCCAAAGAAGCTAAATACACGTTCTTTTCAAATGCGCATGGAACATTGTCAAAGATAGATCACGTGATAGGACACAAAACGAGCCTCAAAAAATGCAAGAAAATTGAAATCATACCAAGCATCTTCTCTGACCACAAGGGACTGAAATTGGAAACCAACCCCAAAGGAAAAAACCCAAAGCACACAAAATCATGGAGACTGAATGGTATGCCATTAAACAATTCATGGGTCAAGAATGAAATTAGGGAAGAAATCAAAACGTTTCTGGAAACAAATGAAAATGATCTCACAACAACCCAAAGCTTATGGGACACAGCGAAGGCAGTCCTGAGAGGAAAGTTTATAGCAATACAGGCCTACCTAAAGAAGATAGTAACATTTCAAACAAACAACCTCACCCTATGCCTGCAAGAACTCAAAAAACAATAACAAAGAGAGCCCAGAGCAAGCAGAAGGAAGGAAATAACCAAGATCAGAGCAGAATTAAATGACATAGAAACAAAAAGCACAATTCTAAGGATCAATGAATCTAGGAGTTGGTTCTCTGAAAAGATAAACAAAATAGACAAGCCTTTAAGTAGGCTCATCAAGAAAAGAAGAGAGAGGACACAAGCACAATTAGAAATGAAAGAGGAGAGATTACAACTGATACCACAGAAATAGAAGGGACTGTAAGAAATTACTATGAAGAACTGTATGCCAAGAAATTTGAAAACCTAGGGGAAATGGACACATTTCTAGAAAAATACAATCTTTCAAAACTCAATGAAAAAGCAGCAGGAAATCTAAACACACAGCAAGAGAAATTGAAGCAATAATCAAAAAAACTCCCATCACACAAAAGTCCTGGACCAGATGGTTTCACAGGAGAATTCTACAAAGCATTTAAGGAAGAGCTAACCCCTATTCTTTACAGACTATTCCAAAAAATTCAGAAGGATGGAAAACTCCCAAATTCTTTTTGTGAAACCAGCATCATCCTATTTCCAAAACCAGATATAGACACCACAAAGAAAGAAAACTTCAGGCCAGTATCGCTGATGAACATAGATGCTAAAATCCTCAACAAAATATTGGCAAATCGCATCCAACAATATATCAAAAAGATCATACATCGCCCTGGCTGGTGTAGCTCAGTGGATTGAGCGCAGGCCTGCGCACCAGACAATCGCGGTTCGATTCCCAGTCAGGGCACATACTGGCGTTGAAGGCAGTTCCCTGCAGGCCAGTTCCCAGCAGGGGATGCACGAAAGGCAACCATACATTGATATTTCTCTCCCTCTCTCCTTCCCTTCCCCTCTAAAGATAAATAAATAAAATCTTAAAAAAAAAAAAGATCATACATCATGACCAAGTGGGATTCATCCCAGGGATGCAAGGATGGTTCAGTATTTGCAAATCAGTAAATGTAATACATCACATAAACAAAAGCAAAGACAAAAAGCACATGATTATATCAATAGACACAGAGAAAGCTTTTGATAAGGTACAACACCCATTTATGATAAAAACACTCAGCAAAGTGGGAATAGAGGGAGCATTCCTCAATATAATAACGGCCATATATGAAAGACCTACAGCCAACATCATACTCAATGGGCAAAAACTAAAAGCTTTTCCACTAAAATCAGGAATAAGACAAGGATGTCCACTTTCACCACTCCTGTTCAATATAGTATTGGAAGTTTTAGCCACAGTGATCAGGGAAGAAAAGGAAATAAAAGGCACCCAAATAGGAAAGGAGGAAATAAAACTGTCACTGTTTCCAGATGACATGATAGTGTACGTGGAAAATCCTATAGACTCTACCTCAAAACTGCTCGAACTAATTAATGAATTTGGCAAAACAGCGGGTTACAAAGTCAATATCCGGAAATCAAAGGCATTTTTGTATACGAACAATGAATCAGCAGAAGCAGAAATCAAGAAAAAAATCTCATTCGATATAGCAAAAACAAAAATAAAATATCTGTGAATAAACCTAACTAAGGAGGTAAAAGACCTGTATGCAGAAAACTACACAGCCCTGAAGAAAGAAATCAAGGAAGACACAAACAAATGGAAGCATATGCCTTGTTCATGGATTGGAAGAATTAACATCATGAAAATGTCCATACTACCCAAAGCAATT